TTTCTATTTACCCTTCATAAGGACCATTTTCATCGAATCCGATCCGACTAAAGTGGGAGAGACTGGCACCCGCTAGCCACCTTATGCAACAAGTGCATGTCAGTCGGTGGAACCTGTCTCACGTAAGTGTACGTGTAAGGTCCGTCCAGGCCGCTTCATCCCACAATACCGTCGAAACGAGATTGGACTAGTAACGATAAGCATATTGAACAAAATCAACGCCCACAACTACTTTGTGTTCTACTCGTGCAAAGAATCTACGCAATAGACCTAGCTCATGATGCCACTCTTGGGGAACGTAGCAGAAATTCAAAATTTTCTTACGTGTCACCAAGATCTTTCTATGCAGAAACCAGCAACGAGGGGAAGGAGAGTGCATCTACATACCCTTGTAGACTGCTAAGTGGAAGCGTTCAAGAGAACGGGGTTAAAGGAGTCGTACTCGTCGTGATCCAAATCACCGGAGATCCTAGTGCCGAACGGACGGCACCTCCGCGTTCAACACACGTACAGCCCGGTGACGTCTCCCATGCCTTGATCTAGCAAGGAGAGAGGGAGAGGATGAGGAAGACTCCGTCCAGCAGCAGCACAACGGCGTGGTGGTGGTGGAGGAGCGTGGCAATCCTGCAGGGCTTCGCCAAGCACCGCGAGATATGAGGAGAAAGAGAGGTAGAGCTGCGCCAACAGGAGAAGAACTTCGTGTGTTGGGCTGCTCCTTTGCCTCCACTATATATAGGGGGAGAGGGGGCTGCGGCCCCACCTAGGTTTCCACCCCTAGGGGCGGCGGACAACCCTAGATCCCATCTAGGGGGGCGGCCAAGGGGGGAGAGGGGGAAACTTGCCCCCCAAGTCAGGTGGAGGCGCCCCCTCCCCAAACCCTAGGCGCCTTGGGCCCTTATGGGGGGGGGGCACCAGCCCAGCTGGGGCTAGTTCCCTCCCACACTTGGCCCAAGCAGCCCTCCAGGGATGGTGGCCCCACTTTGTGGACCCCCGGGACCCTCCTGGTGGCCCCGGTACGTTACCGATAAAACCCGAAACTTTTCCGGTGACCAAAATAGGACTTCCCATATATAAATCTTTACCTCCGGACCATTCCAGAACTCCTCGTGACATCCGGGATCTCATCCGGGACTCCGAACAACATTCGGTAACCACATACAAACTTCCTTTATAACCCTAGCGTCATCAAACCTTAAGTGTGTAGACCCTACGGGTTCGGGAACCATGCAGACATGATCGAGACGTTCTCCGGTCAATAACCAACAGCGGGATCTGGATACCCATGTTGGCTCCCACATGTTCCACGATGATCTCATCGGATGAACCACGATGTCAAGGACTCAATCGATGCCGTATACAATTCCCTTTGTCTAACGGTATTGTACTTGCCCGAGATTCGATCGTCGGTATATCGATACCTTGTTCAATCTCGTTACCGGCAAGTCTCTTTACTCGTTCCGTAACACATCATCCCGTGATCAACCCCTTGGTCACATTGTGCATATAATGATGATGTCCTATCGAGTGGGCCCAGAGATACCTCTCCGTTTACACGGAGTGACAAATCCCAGTCTCGATTCGTGCCACCCAACAGACACTTTCGGAGATACCTGTAGTGCACCTTTATAGCCACCCAGTTACGTTGTGTGGTACACCCAAAGCATTCCTACGGTATCCGGGAGTTGCACAATCTCATGGTCTAAGGAAAAGATACTTGACATTAGAAAAGCTTTAGCATACGAACTACATGATCTTTGTGCTAGGCTTAGGATTGGGTCTTGTCCATCACATCATTCTGCTAATGATGTGATCCCGTTATCAACGACATCCAATGTCCATAGTCAGGAAACCGTAACCATCTATTGATCAACGAGCTAGTCAACTAGAGGCTTACTAGGGACATGGTGTTGTCTATGTACCCACACATGTATCTGAGTTTCCTATCAATACAATTATAGCATGGATAATAAACGATTATCATGAACAAGGAAATATAATAATAACTAATTTATTATTGCCTCTAGGGCATATTTCCAACAAGGGGCTCCGTCACAACCGGTACTTACCGCGTGGACACGTACAGTCGCACACACTTAAACTCGGTTGCGGAAGAAATTCCTCGATGGCAAGAATCTTCGTGTTGGACAGGCCATCCTAATTACTATCCGGAACACCAACCGCCTAGGCTTGAGGATGATGATTGTCTTTGATATCATCTAGAACTACATATGTGTGTGTGGCTATATCATCTAGAATTACATATGATGATCGTCGTCGATATCATCTAGAACTACATATGATGATCACCGTCGATATGACCTTGTACTGCTTGAGGATGCATGTTGACTATGCATGAAATTTTTATCTAGTACTCCCTTCATGCCAAATTACTCGTCGTGGTTTGAACTAAAACCACACCGAGTAATTTGGAACAAAGGGAGTACCACTTAGTACTTATAATGGTTTATGAATTTCATATCTAGTAGTACCTATTATCTGAAAGGGAAAGGGGTACAAAGGGAAAGGGTACGGTGGAAAATAATGAAAGATATAGCAGTAGCAAGGGACAATGAAATCGCTACAGCTAAATAATAGTAGCGCGTTCCGGAAAAGCGCTGCTGATATCGTCAACAGTAGTAGTGCGGATGCGGACCGTGCTACTATTATAAGTTAGCTGCAGCACCTTATTAGTAGCGCGGTCACCCGCGCTGCTGCTAGCCTCAAAACCCGCGCTACTACTAGGGTTTTCCCTAGTAGTGTGCCCTCTGACCTATAGTACATCACGACATCGCGTGCCGGCTACCCAACGTGTAGAGCAACATTGAGTGAATGACTGAATTAATAAACATGTGGAGCAAGAAGAAGCAAAACTTCGTTCTCCATGGTTGCCGTGCGCAATGGCCACATTGCCTCCAACCTTTCAACCGTGCGATAAAACTTCATGACAGAGTTCTGGATGATGTATCATCGATGCGCTAACGGCTTCACATTGTGTTCGTGGATGATATGCATGTTGTGGGATGCAATGTGCTTTCGCGCATGAAATGAAGCATGCACACGCTGCCAAAAGACTCCGCCTCTTGCGCTCCTGCCTATGAAGTCCGCAGAGATGGACTACCACTAATCGCACAACTGCTCATCCTCTATTACCGAGTATTGCCGCCATCCTGCTTACTCTAAGAAACTACCTGAAGTTTAAAAACAAGCCTAATGGCATTTGACTGAACACCTGACGGACATGGTGTCCGCCATGAACGGCATTGACAATGGGTGGAGGTTGCAGACGGATCTTGGGTGGACGGCATCGTAGTACAAGGCGAGCGGGCACGTGGTGAGGGTTGCGGGCATCCAGCAATAGTGCGGTGGTTGCCAGAGAGGTACAGTCGACGACGTCGGACCAAAGAATGATGTCGATGCGAAAGAAAAGAAATCAGGGATGAGATGAAAGAGGATAGGACCAAACGGATTTTCAATTGACCAGTGGTGTCGGACTCGTACGGGACGACCGTCCAGACTCCAAACTGCTCAGCGGATGCTCATGAAAAGGAGTTGGAGTTGCAAACAGCTCCGAATTTTTTGATTTTTTTTATGTTACTGTGTGTAGAAACTACACGTGCTTGGAGATGCCCTTACCCAACACCAAAAGGACGGCAGTGCAGAGGATTCACCGACCGAATCCCACTGGCCACTGCGGATGGAAGCGAAGCAACACAGTTGGGCCGTCCACCCAAACGCGTCGATTATGGCCGGTGCAACAAGTGTATAATTATCAATTAATCGACACATGCAACTTGACCTTGTACGGTTTTCTCGTGACCTGCATGCAGAAAAGTAGTACTATTAATCTCCACCCAAGTAAAGCGAGCTGAATACATGCCCGACTGCCTGTTGAATGAGAGTATGTGCATCAATAATGAGACTCGCATTATGTAAGTCGGCCGAAAATTTATTTCTCCTCGGTCGGTTCCTCCTTTCAAAAAATTGACTACTCCCTCCGTTACGTGTGTAAGTCACCTTACGAAACCAAATATTCCCAAAACACTTAGGCACGATACATTAACTTTCTCCTCGTTTCTTGTTTCATGACATATTAATCAATAAGAGACGTGGGCCGCGCATGCTTTCAATGACTTGAGACTACTAAGGCTGGTTGTAATGGGAAGTATCATGTACTAGTATCATGCATATGATACTAGTATATGATACTACTTCTGTAATGCATAGTATCATAAATTAGTATCTTAGGTTGCCTTATTAATTGTCATGCATGAAAGAAAGTAGTATATCATTTAATATGATACGATATCATGGTATGATAATACTGCATCCTCTCTTTCCTCATTTAATTGTGTGCCACATCATCCAAAAAGTCTAGTTGACATACATGATACCACTTATGATACTATTATTACGACTAGCCTAAACATGACATGTAGTGGTTAGTTCATTGCATGCAATGCTATTAATTAGCAAAAAAACATTAAGTTCTCTCGTTTTCCCATCCGGCTTGGTCGTGGTGCCCACCTAATATGCACAACCTGAGATGACTTATACATCTAAACGGAGGGAGTATCCAAATTGTAAATTCAGATCAACTACATATCATAGCTATTTGTGATCAATAAAATAAATAAATGCAGAGATCCGGGTTGCCTAGTGCATGCGCTGGCTGTCGGCTAGACTATCAAGTATCAACCTTTGCATTGCACGCATGCTTTCCACAAAGAGAGCATCAACTTCACGCGAGCGAGCCTTCAATGAATCCTTTTGTTTTCATGATCAAGGCCCTTATTCCAATACATGTTACAAAACTTCCAGGCCGTTTGAAATTGATCAGATCGTTCCAAAAGAAAAAACAAACAATTTTTGCATGCTCTTACTCCTAGTACGTGCGTGCATGGATTATTTCTTGCCTACCAACTCTGTCTCGTCTTCTCCATCGTACGCGCGTACGTCGCACAGCAGCACCAAGGGCAAGCGAATCGATCGAGACAACTCAATCAGTAGCTCCACAGCGTAATGTCTCCGGCGCCGTCGTCGTCATCGTCATCGTCTCCGTTCATACTCCAGCCTCCGCCGGCACCCATCCCATCGTAGTAGTAGGAATGCAGGTCCATGTCAACGTACTGCAAGCCGTAGTCGTCGTCATACGGCACCGCCGCGGCATCCTGCATCGTCATCGTCGCCGGGGCGGGCGCGGACGCGGACGCCTGGGCCGCGGCGGGGCACGCAGCCTCGGCGAGCGCGATGGCGGCGGTGCGGATGTCCTCGGGCGTGCAGAGCGTGGCCGGGTCGACCACGAGGAGGGACGCGGAGTCAGCGAAGTTGACGCAGGCACCGCGGCCGCGCAGGGCGAGGGCGGCCACGTCATGGGCGCGCGCGGCGGCCTCCGGGGTGGCGAAGGTGCCGAGCCAGATGCGCGACTTCTTGTTGGGCTCGCGCACCTCGCTCACCCACCGCCCCGCGCGGCGCCGCACGCCGCGGTACACCGGGTGCAGCGTCTTGGTCCGCCCTGCCGGCCGCTTCGGCGGCACCGACGTCACGGTCACGTATCCCTTGCCGGTCTGGTCCATCTATTCTACCCTCAGCTGGCAATGGTGGTTCTGTGAGTGTGATGTTGAGGTCAGTGGTGGTCTGCTGGGAGTGAGGAGATCGAGATCCATGTATATATAGGCCAGCGGGGGTGGTGGACTTGCAGAGTGAGACGTGGAAGCCGTGTTGGCGTCAGCATGGCTTGATGCTTTGATCCTACATTCTTAATGTTTAGATTTGTCCAGCATATATTATTTACAGTGAAGTGCTTAAAAGGTTCATAAACTATTCGGAAAGTCAATTTGGCTCCCGGGAGCACGTGCGCTCCCGGGGCCAAAAGAAATTTTTGAAATGAAAAAAAAATCAAGGCAAAGTTTGTTTATGTATTTAGTCACATCCAAATGCTACATGCAAATTTTGAAGCAAAAAGGTTAAATATTTTGGCTTGTGCAAAAAAGACAAATTGAACACCAAAAGTTACCCCAAAATGTCACCCGAAATTTATTTAATTTTTCCGAGGAAACACCCATCAAAATTGACATGCATACTTGCGACACTAACACAAACATCTATCAGGAATTTCAGAATTTTTCGAAAACATATAGTACTATTTTTTGGGTTACTGTTCACCCGGGAGCCGGTGAAAAAGTTTTAAAGACAAAAGGTAAATGCACACTTATTCGTGAATGGAGTGCCTATGTATATAGGGTTTGGCTTAAATGCACTCTTTATTTCATGTAATAACCACAGCAATCATGAGGGGAAGAAGGTAGAGATTACTAGAAACAAACTAGTGGATCTCCTGAAACGGACTGACCACGTGATGGCGCCGCCAGAGACACCACACTTCCTCCCAGCGTTCTGGCCAGTGCCGTGGTCGGTCGCTTTGATCCGGTTGACCGTACACCGTACGCACCTCGCCGAGTACGTAATTAATTAAGGGGAGGTGATTTGGCCCAAGTAGCACCGCTTGTCGGCGCCTGTGCATGCCGCCGCCCGTCGCACGAACGCGTCGTCGCCGTGGTCGGTCGCTCTCTCGTGCTAGTCGCCATGGCAGCTCAATTGCCGGGAGAAGACAACTTCACCTTACAGTGGGTAACAACACTGAAGGCTTAGCTGCACCACGAAAAAAAAAATCAAAACACTGATGGCTCTGTTTATTTATACAAGGCCATTTATAGTTGTACCAAAGCAGTTCTGACTACTCTGTGCCACAAGTTCAGATTATTTTTTCTGACATAAGCACATGTGTTGCCAGCAAAAAACACCACATCTTTTGCATCAACAATTCTATGGCTCTTCCCATAAATAACCTTCTTTTTGCTAACTTTTTCCGAAAAGAAGAATGACCCCACCCTCTGCATTACCTGATGAACACAACCATTCTATTAAACAAAGTACTAGGTTCAAAATATCGTCTCAAGCAATCCACAAAATAAACTGAAAAAGTCCCACAACCGACGAAAATAGTGTAAGATGACCAGACACCTATTTTATTATTGGACCGACATTCAAACCGGTTGTAAGTGTCCGACCTTCTCCTAGCGGCCACACAAAATCCATATGCTCCCCGTGGTCTACATGACATAGTAACGTCCGTATGGATCCAATCAGACTCCCGGATGATAATCTGCAAAAAATTGGTGATTGTTTGTCTGTTAAAAGGTGACATCATTTTGAGAACTCCATATGCTCAAAGGAATGCACACACTCCTACTCAAATATGTGTCGTTGTCTTAGACTCTACCCCAGATAACCACGTCTCAGATAAACTTGATCAACTGCTAAGAGGAGAAATATTAAAGGACGCATGAATAGTTTGCCACAATAGCTTGGCGAGTGGACACTGGAGAAAGAGATGTTATATTGATTCGTCCTAATCACAAAAATAACACCGTTTACTACCCTGCCAACTTCGCTTTGGCAAGTTATTCTTAGTCAAAATCACTCCCTTGTGCACAAACCACATAAACAACTTTATTTTAAAGGCACCTTGACTTTCCAGATGTGAAGCGACTTTGGGATAGGACCGGTGTTTATCAAGTCCGTGTACATGGACTTAACCGAGAATACACCTGACACGGAAATCTTCCAATATAAGGTATTCATCACATCAGTATAGGGTGACAATCTCTCGGTCGGCGTGTCTCTTCAATGTCGATGCCAGTGAGAAGTCGCGTCCGCTCTAGCCGTGCATGAACGCGGCGCTGAATGTTTCAGATGGAAAGCAAGCATAGGTTTTTGGTGGGCTGGAGCGGGCGTGGCAGCATTCTGGACTCCCGTCGGACCAATACAGACTGTGTTGGATGGCACAACACGTTAGAAACACTGCCCCGACGTATGTGCGCGGTTTGAGGGTTGGTGTTGAGCAATTGATAGAAAAGCGCATAGTTATGACGATAACTAAGGCAATGATCATGAATATAGGCATTACGTCCATGACAAGTAGACCGAACCAATTCTGCTTCTACTACCATTAATCCACACAAGAGTATTAAGTTCAGGAGAACAGGGCAACACTTTAAGCAAGAAAACATGATGTAGAGGGATAAACTCAAGCAATAAGATATAAACCCCATCTTTTCACCCTTAATGGCCACAATACAATATGTCCTCGCTACCCCTACTATGTCACTGGGTGAGAACACTGCAAGATTGAACCCATCACAAAGCACCTCTCCCACTGCAAGATAGATCAACTTAGTTGGCCAAACCAAATCAATAGATCGGAGAGAACTACAAAGCTATTTAAATCATGCATATAAGAATTGAGAGGAGAATTAAATATTATTCATAGATAATCTGATCATAAACCCAAAATTCATCGTGTATCAACAAACATACCGCAAAACAAGATTACATCGGATAGAACTCCAAGAAGGTCGAGGAGAACATGGTATTGAAGATCAAAGAGAGAGAAGAATTCATCTAGCTACTAGCTATGGACCCATAGGTCTGTGGTAAACTACTCATGCATCACCGGAAGGGCAGCAAGGTTGATGTAGAGGCCCTCCATGATCGAAACCCACTCCAGCAGATCGCCAGGAAAAGTCCCCAAATGGGATCTCCCGAGAAAAGAACCTTGCGGCAACGGAAAAGTATCTTTTTTGGACGCTTCTGATAATGATGGGATATTTGAGAATATATAGAGGTGGTTTTAGGGTTGGGGGACTCCCGAGGAGCCCACAAGCCAGGGGCGCCCCCCTAGGGCGCGTCTTGAGGGCTTGTGGTGCCCTCGGGACTATTCTGGCCCTCTCTCCAAGTTACGTAGGTGTCTACTCGTCCAAGTAAAATCATCATGCCAGTTTTATTCTGTTTGGACTCCATTTGATACTCCTTTCTGACAAAGTCAAAAACAAGGAAAAAATGGCAACTGGCACAGGGCACTAGATTAATAGGTTAGTCCCAAAAAATGATATAGAACAGTACCATAATAAATATAAAACATCCAAAATAGATAATATAATAGCATGGAACAATAAAAAATTATATATACTTTGGAGACGTATCAACTTATATCATTCATTTTCTAAGAGAGAACCACCTACCACTACTAGGGAAAAGCCTATACACAGAATCTTACCAGCAACGTGCTTTAAAATCAGGCGCTGCTGCTACGTAGCAGTAGTGCTTGCTATCAAAACTCGCTGCTGGTACAAGTTTATCAATAGCGCGCACACTCTAGGACGCGCTACTGCTGAAATTCCCACGATGCCGCCGCGAGGCCAATTATAGCAGCAGCGTGTTAATACAAAGCGCGCTGCTGCTACGGATCGTAGCAGCAGCGCATTTACGCAATAATCGCTACTACTAAGGCTACTACAAAAATTTAGTCCCACCTCGCTCCGTGAAGAGAGTTTGTACCACCTTAAATATGTTACTTCTACAACTTTCACAATCACTTGGTCTTCATTGAACTCTATGTGTAGGATCTGTGGCCACAATAGGAATCCTCGCCTGTTCTTAAACCAACCGTCGAGGATTCCTATTGACAAATCAGATTGTACACAAAAAGACAATTGATGATCAATGTATTTTTTATGTCTATGTCTAACATAGCAGTAGCGTGTTCTCGGTCAAAGGCGCTACTGATAGGTCGTTTAGCAGTAGCGCATTTTGCTATAGTGCGCTACTGCTAAACCATTCCATCTCCCCCCACTCACCTATCCGATCCAGATCACACTCACACACACACACTCGATCTCTCCCCCTCAACCCCCGCGCCGCCAGTCCTCCCCAGTCGCCCCTCCTCTGATCTGCGCCGCCGTCACCTCATCCTCCTCGCTGGACTCGATACCGGCCTCCTCCTCCGTCCTCCCTCCACTATCCGCTGGCCGACCCCTCCTCGCTCCGCCTTCCTCCTCCATTCTCCCTTCACTCGCCGCCGGCCAGCCCCTCCTCACTCCGCCTTCCTCCTCCATCCTACTCTCTTCTCCCTCCTCGAGTCGCCCGTCCTTCTCCCTCCTCCCTGCTACATTTTGATTTAGTAGGCTAGTTCATATGCAACATTCTGATTTAGTCGATATGCAACATTCTGATTTAGTTGATTTAGTAGGCTAGTTAATTTAGTTGATTTAGAACATTTTGACTTAGTTGATTAGTAGGCTAGTTGATTTAGTTGATTTAGTAGGCTAGTTGATTTAGTTGATTTAGTAGGCTAGTTGATTTAGTTGATTTGGAACATTTTGATATAGTTGATTTAGTATGCTAGTGGATTTAGTATGCTAGTTGATTTAGTTGATTTAGTATGAACCATTTTATTGTTATTTTTTCGGCAATAGGTGCCACCGAAATGCTTTGGTACGTGGTACCTTGTCATCTAATATGTCCATAAAATGGCACCACCACCATTATGCTACTGTTTTTCTTTCCTGTGAAGTGAATCATTAATCCTTTGCTCATATTGCTTTAGGAAAATATCACATGCTACTGTTTTTCTTTTCTGTGAAGTGAATCATTAATCCTTTGCTCATATTGCTTTAGGAAAATGGCGCCACCACCACCACCACTATGTCGACTGTGCAAGTCAAGGTGCGCCAGC